AACTAAAGTGTACAGAAAGTTCATAGGTTTTATTCGATCAGTATGCTATTTATTGATGCTGTATAGAAATAGGGCCATGCATCATATTCTTTTTCTCTTTAAGGTACTGTAAGCAGCCTGCTCTTTTGTTTGATTATCATCTGTATTTTTTAAAGTACTCATAAATTTTGTTAGGATTGAATTTGCGCCATTTGCTATTCGATTGAATAGGGATTAGTGAAATGTCGCTTGGGCTAATTTATGATCAATTGCATAGAAATATGTTCGTAATTTTGTTGGACGTGTTTTTCATCACAGTATTTTCTAGTTTTATTGTTAAATTTTTCTAAGAATTATTAAATAGACTTTCATTTTTTATGGGAATACATGATGAAGAGATTCCAAATTCGACCTCACCAAAATACGACAGCTGATTCTCGTTATACTGCTGCAGTTTGGCTTTAATACAACCTTCAGGTTGACGCAGCTCTCTTGTTTCTGGTGACAATGGGTTGAGTTTTCGTGCATCATCAGAGCTAGGACTCATTCTTTTGAAGGTCGTACGTTAACACCAATTCATGAAAACTGTCTGGATCTATCCTACGTCTTATATATACCCAACTAAACGCGAAGAAGCATAGATAGATATCTCATAGCTATGAAGGCCAAGATTGTGTAGCCTTTTGTTTGGTCGCAGTCTCTGTTAGATATATAGTGTTGGTTTGACTTCGTTTTTCTAACTTGTTTGGAGCGACAGAGGGACCTTGTGGAAAGTATCTAGTGCTGTGTCCTCTTCCATTGTAATCATGAGTTCCAGTATCAAACCGTTGACTTCCCAGGCGTTTCTCCGGCCTCAGTCGCCAGTGGATAGTTCGAGTGCACATCATGGTGTGAATAGATAAATATTTCATATGAAGTAGGGTTGCGAAAGAGAGATTTAGCGCTATTAGATAGAATAAAAATAACTAGGGAAAATGAGTGATTCCACAACAGTTCAACATAAAATTGCTCAAGAAGATTATCTTTATTTGCCACTGCTTAGCTGTAACTCTCTGCTATCAATGGTGTCTCACTGACGATGCAGAAGGAGGCCGGCGAAACGTCTGGGAATGTACGGTCCGATGCTGGAAATCATGAATACTCTGGTGGCGGCCCCAGGGCAAGGTTTCCCAAGTTCTTCGTTCTGCCCGACCAAGTTGCTAAACGAGATCAAAGAAAAACCATAGATTGATTTGCCGAATTCCCTTTCGTATTGGTCATGGTATTTTTACCTGATTGTGTTAAACTACATAAGCAAATATCGGTTATAAATCAAAGTGATTAAAAAAACCTGTTGTCATCCTCGTTTAATCAAGGCTCAGTAACCCAAGAAAAAACTTTGACAATGAGCAAGTCCGTAGGCAACTCTAGTTAATATAATGAGATATACGCGTATAAGTCAGATTACGAAACCAACCGTAATAGGCTTATAAGTTGTCTGGCCTTGTTTTCCCAACTTGGTCATATTAGTAGGAAGACTTAGAGGAACGCACCTAGTCCGGAGTCCATTGTATGCATGCTAATTTTCAGAGTCGGGCCGTGGACGTGATACATTCCCAGACGCTTTGCCGGTATCGTAGCCAGCATCGTCAGTAAGTCTTGCCAGCCTTAGCACCATATTACAACTCGTCAAAGACACAAATGAAGCCGATCCTTTTACCAAACGTGTGCTAAATAGTTGTGATATCTCTCTTATCATGGGCTATTCACATATCCTATATCCTCGTATCACGCCCTCACTGTCACAATTTTTTTACCGTGCTTATTTCATTGTTTTGTCATGTACCCTTTTGAGTGGATTCCATGAGAACCCTCCACACTCCACGCTGGCGTTCTCACCCCTCTTCCGCCTTGTGCTGGGAATGTGGCTCGGAGTCTGCTATAGTGTTACGCGGTCCTCCTTTCCTAGGTCTTATCAGAGTCTTCCTCTTGCCCCGTAGAATCATTCTGCTATCTCGCTTGCTCAAGTATTTCACTCGACCTCTGCTACCCCATTTGTGCTACTCGAGACATTATTACCCCTCCCCTGCGTCTGAGTGACTAATTCGAGGCTAAAGCCTCTGAGTAAGTCTCATGGTCACGTCTTTGCTATATGGACCATGTCTATAGTAAAGCAGGCCTATCGTCAGCCGACTAGCTCCAGTCTGCGCCGCGTCTATGCTGTTTCTATCCCCAATACCAAGTCAATGATTTGCTATGCCCTAGTCTCTTATATGCCAACCCACAAACGTTTTGTTCAACCTTGAACTCAATAAAACAAGCAGTATCACAACACACACAAGAGATTAGGCCCTAATCACTACGGCATAGCTATTTATAGACTTTGTATAAGGGATAGAAACATGATAGACGCGGCGCCGACTGGAGCTAGTTGGCTGACGATAGGCCTGTCCATGTAGCAAAGGCGGAACCATGAGACTTACTCAGAGTCTTTAGCCTCGAATTAGTCACCCAGACGTAGGGGAGTGGTAATAACGCCTCGAGTAGCACAGATGTGTTAGCAGGGGTCGAGATAGCAGACGGATTCAACGGGGCAAGAGGGAGACTCTGATAAGACCTAGGGACGGAGAACTGCGTAACACTATGGCAGATTCTGAGCCACATTCCCAGCCAAAGGCGGAAGAGGGGGGAGAACGCCAGCGTTGAGTTTGAGGGTTCTCATGAAAGTCACTCAAAATGGCATACCACACAACAACATTAAACTTGATCTTTAAACCTTCGTAATAAGCTTAGTTTAAGATCATTATGTTTTAACAACTATGGGAAGGCTTGACCGTGATTGTATAATCTAGTACGCCTGGTTTGTTAGATAAGCTTGATCTACTTGTTAAGCGAGTCAGTGAGGTGCCAGACTCGTGACAAACATTAGATAAAGAGAACATTTTCTTAAGAAAAGCCTTAATTGTTCACCAAACTATATAAGGTTTTATCGTGGACACACTGTCATAATGAATCTATTGTCTTATTGTAGTTGGCTTTTCATTCCCTTATCTCTTCTGTCTTTATTTTTTTATTATTCTTTTTATCCATTTTGAAATGGATTACTGTCTGCTATTCAGGCGTAGACTCTTAGAAAGGCATTTCATCTTAATGATTTCACTTATTGTGCATTCTTACTTCCCTATCGTAGGCCTGGCTTTATTCGACTTAACTTGCCATTCTTCATATCAGATGAGGATGCTACTTTCGTACTTGACGCAATTCGATTTGTTGCTGAATATGGATGGGCTTTTCTGCCACTATATCGGTTCAACCCAGGCACCGGTGAGTGGACGCACTGTCGTCGCGACTTCACTCTTCCTGATCGTAAATGGCTTGGACACATAGCCTACACCCAAAAAGGAATGATATGGCGTCGAGCGAGGCAGCCAGATAAGTCTTCTCAAGGCAGCTCTCGTAGCACATCCTTGCCCTTAAGTTATCAGGTGAGGTTCCATAAATTAACCTGCTATTTCTACTCTTAATGCTGTTGACAAATTGTGAATTTCGTTGGATTTTTTATTTGTTAGACTTGAGCATTGGACATTTGTTAAAGTTAAATCTATTTTAGAAGTAATTTGGGCTTGCTTTTGCAGCTTGGTCTTAATTTTCTTGGTATATTTCCAGACGTTTTATCAGCATTGTCAATGAGCCTATCCAATCTTAACACCACATTCTAAGTCTTTAGAGGGACGAATGAAGTCGATCTTTCGACCAATTGATTTAATAAGATCTATTTACAATCTCCACTGGTCTCACTTAATCCGCTCAAATGGGCACACTTGAATTTGGTTTAAATAAGCAAGTAAAAAATTGTGATAGTAAAGAGGTGACAAGAAGGTATAAGCTAGATGAATGCATCGGGACGGAAGCAGAAATACCACAACTGTTTAGCATACATCGAAAGTATGAAGACCAAGATGGTGTAGCCTTTTGTATGGTCGCAGTCTCCTTTCATTGTATAGAAGTTATTTGAACTTGGTCATATTGATAGGATACCTAGAGGAACGCATTTAGTCCATAGTATGCATGATAATTTCTAGATTCGGACGCGTACGTAGTACATTCCCTGACGTTGCGCCGGCATCGTAACCAATATCGTAAGTGATCCTTGCCAGTCTTACCATCACACTACAACTCGTCAGAGACAAGTGAAGCCGATCCGTTGACCAATTGTCTGCTAAACAATTGAGGTATCTCTTTTGCCCTGGGCTATTCACCAATTCTCTATCCTCGTATCACCCCTTCACTATCACAATTTCTTAGTTGCTTATTTAGATGTAGTATTATGTGGGCTTTAAGCGGACTTCATTAGAACTTCACAAACTCCACGCTGGTTTTCTCACCCCCTCATCCCACATTCCCCTTCCCATAGGTCTTATCAGTCTCTCCTTTGCCCCGTAAGATCCATCTCTTACCTTCCTGGTTCAGGTATATCACTTGATCCCTGTCACCCTATCTGCATTACTTGAGGCGTTATTTCTCACACTGTCTCAAGGCCTTGATGGTACGCATATTCATGCCTTGCTGAGTTGGCCTCTACAAATGAGGAATCATAAGCTGGAGACTAAAGAGGCCGCTTAATTCTCATGGTCAAGCTTTTGCTTCATAGACCACGTCTATGATCAAACACGTCTACTCTTAGCCAACTAGCTCTAGCCTCTGCCGCATTTGTCGTGCTTCCATCCATTGTGCCAAGTCTATGTCTTCCTATGTCCTAGTCTCATGCGTGCCAACCCGGATATGTTGTGGTCTCTTTCAAAAAACTCCTTATTACTTTCATGTCACAAAACAAGTAATATAGAATTGTACATTTGAATCCATCCCGGAGGAGACTAGGTTTCTCCAATTGATTGCTGTGTACTTATAACGGATAAATAATGCTGAGGAAAGTTGGAGAGGCAGTCATAGAATTAGGTTGAAAGGACCTTATTGTTTTTCTGAAAAATGTAAACTTAGGGGTTTTTTAAATTGCAATAGCTGCATGATGCATAAACATCACTGTTTATTTGTAACCAATTAGTGCAAATCTTAGAATATTTTTAGCAAGTAATGAGCGTTGCTTGTATTTGTTGATTGTGTTTTGATTTTGTCTTAGCATTTTTTGTATTGGTTGTTGGAATATTTATAGAATTCTGTACTGAGGTCTACTTCCCCTTATGCTCTCACGGGTACCACTTATTTTTTCGTGGCTTTTTTTCACCCAAGATGGTTTCAAATACTTTTTTTTACATATTGTATGTCATTTTATCTGATATAAATGTTAGTAAATATTTTTCATCTGAAATTTAGCGTTGCATCCAAGATGCATACAAAGAATATACTGCAACTCTTAGAGAAGTTGGATCCAGGTCATTTGTGGGTGTTCCTGATAATTCGGCAACCTTTGATGAAGCAACTAAACGCCTTCGTTGGTTCCTTCTCCCATGCGAAGCTGTTGCGGAGCTGCGAAGCGAAACCAGTAATAGTAATATATAACGTCTTGTTTGAGCATTCATTTCTACTATCTACCCTCTTGTGTTGAACAAGAAGATAAGGCTAATACATTTTCAACTTGACAGAGAGCCCTTATTCTATCGTTTTTAAGTATTTCATTTATTAATATTTTTAACTACGAGACTGCATCAAATTACAAGAGAAAGTTTAATTAAGAAGGACCGATTTCCACTTTGATAACAACGATCGATTGTTTTTAACTGTAATAGTTATGAAATTCCGATCCTTTTTATTCTAAATATTGAAAATGATTCCATTTATTTCCATTCAGCCCATTAAATAATATACTTAATGCAACTATAATTTATAACTAGCCTTCTCATTAGATAAATGAGACATATGCATGATAATTTTAGAAAATTTCGGGAAAAACATTAGGTAAATACATATGAACTTTTCTGCTGGGATTGTAAACTGGAAAAGACAAACCGGTCACTATTTCTATATATACAAAATGGATTCGATTTGAAATTTTTCGATCTTAGATTCATAACCTTGGCTTGTATATTTTCTGAGTGAGTTTGGTTTATAGAATACTAATAATTGAAATAATCATTTTAGACCTATTGATGTGATCTAAGGATTGATCGTTCAATTTTTTCCACAATTATGTACTAGTCGTTATGATACCGTTGAATTTCATTTAGCTTTGCTTCTCCATAGCTCCTTAGGGGTGCAGCGCAGTTCTGGCTTCACCCAGGTCTCATCAGTCCTTCCAACGGGATTCACTACTGGATCCTGAGCATCTTTGTGAGTTTAACTCTCCGTCACACAACTACGGACCGCAATGGGTCATATGGAAAATTGAATTTGGGCAAAACCTATCTTGCCTTTAATGTCGAATCTGCCTTGTTAAATGTTTTCATCCGTTGCTGTGTATCGGATTGGCAACGCCTGACAATGTTAATATCTCGCTATCATCTACAAATGATTCCACATTTGATGGCAAGCTTTTGAGAGCAAATGCTAAGTGATCTTCAATGTCATCATGAAGCATACTCAAATCAATCTTGTAAAATTAATATATCAACCCAAGACTAACTCTAAACCACCGAGGATGACTATGACCTCGTTTGACTAGTCAAGTGATAACAGCCTTATTTACGTGGAAGCACAAAGTAGGATAGTTTGATTTGCTCTATCCCAACCAAGAGACCCTTTTCATGAGTTTCTTTGCAATTGAATTCCTGGTTTTCTTATTTTCTTTTTACTAACAATTTGGAATATGCTCTAGTTTAGGCACACAATCTGCCCTGTAGCTTCATGTTAATTTATAGATCCAAGACCGAGAATATTATTTGTAGTGGCAATATCAGCTTCACTTCCAGGCTCGTATTAATAACCGCGTTCTGTATGTGCTACCGGCTCGTCTTGAATGTCTGCTGTGAGTGTCAATTTGGAGACGTAACGAAGACGTTACATTGTCTCCATTCTGTTGATTTTTTCTAAAGAGAATGCAGGTTTTCACTAGATAATAATTTTAACCCGAATCGAAAAAATATGCAGGAAAGGTGTGCATAGTGATAGAGTAAATTTTTCTGATGTTTTGACAACTTTGGCTCCTCCGAAAACTTCACTATTAAACACCATCAATAGATAAATAAATAGAAAAGAAGGATGCATCATTGTAGACTAGAAGCCTATTATATATATATATATATAATGTCGCTAATAAGAAATTGTGCCAAGGATAGACATATAACGACGAATCTGTTACTTGGCCCCGTCGCTACTACTGCTACTACTACTATTAATTGTACTATTAGGGACTGCCATGATCCTCACGCTTGCGCCTAAGAACCATTTGCATACGCTCCTCTGCTCTAGCTCATCAGATCACTTGACATTAATCTTAATTGACAGCTTTGGGTGCATGAGTGATTTATTTAGTATGCCTGAGGGCATATTCTGAACTGATTATAGAGTAGTGAGTAAAAACAAACCCCAAAAATCGAAATCAAAGCCCTTAAAAGGAAGAACAACAAACTTTCAAAATAGTTAGATGGTCATAAAATTCTCATCTTTCCGGCAGGTAGTTTTTAATTACTAGACTTGTCATACATTGGCTATTATTATGAAAATTTGGCCCCAGTTGTAAAAAGGAATTAAGTATTGTTTTCGTGACTACCAGTAAATTAGTAAAATAAGATTTATTAATCCAATTTCGTTTAAGGTGGTGGACTGGTTAAAGAAGAACTTTCCCACAATGATATGAGTAGAGCTGACGTTTTCATTGAATTTCACATAGCATTGCTTTCCCAAAAGTTCTTATCCAGAGTGAACTGCAGTTTCGACCTCGCATCGGTCTTATCAATACCCCCAGCGGGAGTCGAACCTTGACGGTGCAGAATGGGAGTTGACACGTTAACCACTTTACTACATTGAATACACTTCATATTACAGATTTACTGGTAGTCACGAAAACTATACTTAATTCGACAAAATAAGGTATAGTTGTCGATTGTTATAGCAGATATACGTTTGCTTATCGACAATTCCACCAAAAGAATATGATATGGCAAAAAGGCCTGGCCTTGAAAATTCACATTTGCTCTATGACCCAAAGGCGTTCGTGGCAGTGTAGCCGAGTGGTTAGCGTGTCAAGCTCCCATTCTTCACTGTCGCGGTTCGAT